GACGGGGGGGGGGGGCTAATACAAGAGGAATTTTCCGGTGAGCTGCCATGTTTTCCGGTGGTTTTGGTGTGAGGTGAGAGAAAGAAGAGGGTTGTGTTTGGTGGGGTTATTTTAGGGGAGGGTGTTTATGGTCGCATAATGGGTTGGATAATAGAGGTATTGAGTATTTTAAATTGGGGATGGGTCAACTAAATTTGAGAGTGACACGTGTCTATTCCGTCTGTTTAGGGACATTTTTGTTTAATAATGTAACGGTAAGGAGTTTTTTGACCCGATAGTATAACGAAGGACATTTTTAAACAATTGTTAATAGAATAGGGACATGTCAAACCCTTTATCGTTTACTAATTGCTTTAAATAATATATTATTTGATTAATTCGGTTCTTTAAAATAGTTTCTTTTGGTATGGAGAATGAGAATAATATTGGGTATATTATCTTTTATTAATTGCTTTAAATAATACTCTATTAGTTAGATTAAAGTTGGGTTCTTATAGACCGTAGGAACACATGTTGTAAATGCAATGTCATATGTACTCGTTGCTTTTGTATGTCCCCACGTGTCCTCCTTGAAATCCTAGTTGCCCCTTTCATTATGACTCATGTCCAAAATAAAATTGGTATCTTGAGTGAATCGTCTGTTTATTCTCTTGTACTTGTATACTTTACTTATACCTAAGTGAAGGACATTGGACTAAGTGGTAAAAAAATATTTGGTAATTCTGGATTTTCTTAATTAAAAATTTGTTTGTTTTCTATTGATATTTATATTAAAACTTGTTTATATGTGCTACAGAGAAAATGAGCATATTAAGAAGAGGCTCTTTGATTTTGGGCCTACTTTTGACGAGGAAGAAATCGAATGGTTGCACAAGGTTCTGGATGGCCCACCATCTGATACTAAAAGGCCCTCTACCTCAGCCGATTCGAGACTTGTTATCCTCTCAGCGGATTCCTTCACCTCTTCACCTCTAGATATGCCTGAGTCATCCTCGTCTTCTCAGACGATTCAGAGCTGTTTCATATGTCGCAACACCAATCCAACAATAAATTGTCAGTATACTTAGTTTTTTCTAAGTTTGTTTATTGTTTTTGTTAATTGTGTTTATAATATATTAAAGGATCTTGTTATAATTTTTTCAATCCAAGTGTTTTTTTTACCATATGAAATAGGGAAAACGAGGATCTTAAGAAGCAGCAGCTCTCTAGCCATGTGCCAACTGCTTCTGATGTTGAAGAAAATCAAATGGTTGGATGACTTGATTTTGGATGACTTCTCATCACCACTATTAACTACTGCTAATGCTACATCTGACGAGTATTATTAATCTTGTTGTTGTTGTTGTTGTTGCTTGAATTCTTTATAAATGGACAATTGTTAAAGAGTGACTATAATATTCTGAAACTTCTATAATAAGTTAGATAAGATTTTAGATATTTTGAAATAAAGAATTTAGTTAAACATATTTATGTTTTGTGGATTTTTAAAGTGGTTTGAACTTTAATAGTAGATTCATTCTTGGTTGTGAAAAAATATCTTAATCGCAAATTGATAAATTTATTCATGAATTCTATTTAATTTCATTTTAAATTTTTCAAAAATTTCTAGGTTATAAATGGGTTGATTTCTTTTGAAATCATAACCAATTTTTAATTGGAAAATATTTGGTACAAAAATTGTTGAGAACGTGATCTTTTAAATCAAAAATAGAAGGGCATACCTAAAAAGACTCTTTAAATCTTGTATAATATTTTAAATGTACTTGAATTTCTTTTCGAAGGAAATTATGCATATTTACTAGACAGATCACGCATAATTCATACACGGAAAACTTATATGATTCTCCTTAAGTTGAATCTGACTGACTAAGATGAATTGCGGATAATATCACGCATAATTCACTGATCGATGATGGTTATCATATTATAATAT